ACTCTTTCCAGCCGCCTCCACAAGCCTGGTAGAGGCTATGATAAAACCACCATGTGACAAAGTGGCGTCGGTAAATGCTGTGGATACAATGAAGTTGTTCTCTCTTATCTAAACCGTCTGTTAATGGGTTAATATGATGTTATCTGACAGACGTTACACTATCAAGATGTTCGGTTCGTAATCACACGATTATGGCCTTCCGAACACTGCCGATCTCTCCAAACCATGGTTCTTGTTCGGCTGTACACTTGGAATGTTTTATAACGTCGAAGGGCGGTTATACCGGCTATACAGATACATATGCAGTTGTTTTTGGGGGTCAAATCTGACTCAAATTCCACTTCAATTCGTATCTACCATGTCTATGTATTGCAGAGTTAGATCTCCAACATGTGTCTCACGTCAGATTTTACTGTGTTTCCTTTTTCCCTGAAGGAAAGTCTCAAGTGAGCCGTTAGTGATCGGTGATGTAGTTAGACACATGCGAACCACGCGGCTTATTTCCCCTGGAACACTCGAGTGAAGGTCACAAAACAAACAGAAATACCTCGGAGGTATCCAAAACCAGATAAAAATGTTTTTTTCATGCATTTTCTGAGACAAATTCTACCTAAAAGAGAGTTAATTTTATGCATTGACTTGGGTACGTTTTTAAGACTCGCGATTCCATATAAAATGCAGGAATTTCTGTGCGCTTTTTGGGAAGTTTCGAGGCAATTTTGACACTCAACAAACACGTATCCGACGCCCCAAGGCACCGTGAGTTAAAAACCTCCACCGCAGACTTGACGACACCCAAACGCTTGTCTTGTGCACGTATGACTGCTGGATGTGACAAGTTAACAACTCACAACTCGTCGTTATGTTTACAAATTACGTATATGCTAGGCCATACGGAACTTGCTCTTTTGGAAGTTGAAGGAGCAACCTAGTGATCTTGAAAGAATAAATTGAACTGCCCATGCATATAGAAGTAACTACAACCTGTCCTGGTGAACTGAAGAAAACCAGTAACGCACTCACATCCGAGTTAAGAACACAGACTGACTTAGTTGTTTATATAGATTAGTGGAAAATGTCTTGGGTAGATCTTGTGTATTTTGATAAACTTTTCACCCTTTGCCCGAAGCACTACCGTAAGAAAGTGCTGAGCCAATTGAAGAAAAAGTCAAGGTGGTAGTCAAGGAAGCTGGCAGTCAAGCAGGTTTCTTGAGACTTGGGGATACGTTAAGATTGACATTCACTCTCCTTCACCTTTCTTAAAAACAGGTGCGGCGTAAAGGAATTCTGTGCCACATTCTTGATTGTCACATACTATTTGTACATGGCAGAAGGTTGCTAAAATATCATTGAGTCATTCCTTAGTTCGTTCTTTTCCATCCATCCATCCATCCACCCATCCATCCATCTATCCATCTATCCATCTATCCACCCATTCATCTATCCATCCATCCATCCATCCATCCATCCATCCATCCATCCATCCACCCATCTATCCATCCATCCATCCACCCATCTATCCATCCATCCATCAATCCATTCAATCATTCACTACACTAAGGAAACGACAATGCTTGTTCCTAGTCTGTTTCTCTCTCTCTTTCCCTCTTTCTCTGTCTCTTTCTCACTTTTTCTCTCTTTCTGTCTCTCCCCCCCCCTCCTCTTTTTCTCTCTCTGTCGAACCTTCTTCCTTCGTATAATAGAAGACACTAAACCTGGATACCAGCATGTCTCATCCCACCAATCAGAACCCCCGACTGAAAGTAGATATTCCGTGGATTATTCTATAAAGACTTGTACCCTTGGCATTATTGTATAACCGGCCGTGACCGTCTGAATTGGGCTTACAGAATGGATTAACATGTAGACTGCTTTGATAGGCTACGAAATTGTTCTCCAGCGTTCTGGTATCACTAGTATGAGAGATTCCAGCGATCAAAATATTCTTAAAACCATGTCATGGTTAACATTTTTTGCTGAAAATTTTTCTCAACAACTTTTTAGAGCCAGACCCCCTTTCCATTTGGTGATGACTAAATGGGCATACAGTGACCAAAATATTGGTGACTTTGACTTCATTTAGAATATAATGCAAGATCTAAAATCATGGCACAACGAACAAAATGTTGTGCCGAATGTTTTTAAGTGTTGAATGCGGGTATGGACGGGCAATTGGGCCGGCGACGGGTTTGGCTGGTGTTTGGCTAATATTCGGGAGTAGGTCGGGGCTTGGTTCACTGTTAACTTTGACTCAAATTTTACTGAAATTCGATTCAACTCGTATTGAAATGCAGGCGTGGTCAAAATCTGATCAAACTGCTCCCGATCTTCATCCATCAGGTGGTGTTCGGGGGAAGGTTGTGAGTCAGTGTGGCAGGGGCTGTAACCAGGCTAGCTTCTCAGCTTGCGGGCTAACTTCGCTGGCATACCATTGAATCTAGTATTTTTATTTTCTTATTTTCCAAAATTTCATGACTAGATATGGTAACGGCACACTCAAGTTATCAAACTTAATTTATGCCGCCACCAACGCAGAGGACAAATACAGGACAAAACAATACTCATTTTCACTTGAGTTACATGTAAGTGAGGAAAGTCGTGTAAAGTCCTTTCCCAAGGCTCGAACTCGGAACCTCTTGGTTCTGAGTCGAACACTCTGCCGTCACGCCACAGGACCCCACTAATATTAATTATCCATTTGGCCAATTTCGTCTATTTTTTTCTCTCGGCAACCTGGGCTGCCTGCTAGGGGTTAGGTGCTAGTAGCCACTTCGCTAGATAAATACCTGGTACCCAGGCTAAGACAAGACTCTGTGTCAATATTTCCTTTCTGTGCCACGACCCTTGTCGTTGAGGTACTTACCCGAGAGAAAAACGCTTGGTTGTTTCCTTCGTGGGTTCATACCAAAAGGAATTGTCGGAATGTTTCCCGGAGAAAGCCGAGGGTGAGCCGAGTCATGCCTCCACTCCGCTTATCACTTCCGATCAGGTCGTAAAAAAAACTCTCTTTTGATGAGGTCTAAATTTCCGCGAGGCCAGCGGCTTTAAACATCAACCATAGCGTGACTCAAACCATTTCACGGAATTTTCAAATCCCTTCAAATCTTTCGGGATCAAATTTGCGCCCAAGGAGCGGATATAAGATTTAATAAATCCAAATAAAGTCAAAACAAAAATGTCGCGCGGGTAACTGTGAAGTGATATTGAAGCCAAATGCTCCCCCAGAATTTTTACATGGAGGAGAATTGCTAGCCTCCGCAGTAGGCTTATAGAACTGGGGGTTTGGTGGTCTTCGGCTGTTTTCTGATTAGCCTAGTTCTAAACACGGGGGTAATTCAACCAGACCGGCTATGTTGTCTACATGCAATCAGAAAATAGCACATAAAAGCTCCCAAAGACCATGAAGACCCCCAAACCCCCAGTTTTTGGCATGCCATGGAGACTAGAGAATTGAGGCGTATTTCTTATGGGACTAGTTAGCGGTTGAGCGAATGAAAAGCGCTGTCATCACATAGTCATCTAACCTCGTTAACTCTGCTAGTGTAAGCCGTATTAGATATCCGATATACCTTCACACACGTCTAGTAAGGCCACACTGGCTTCATTTTATGGATTACATCATCTGAAGACCCCGAAACTAATGTGAGAGGGTGAACAAAAAAAATAATCAGCCAAAATTGATGCTTAACCACAAAAATACAAAGCTGGTATTGCGATTTTTTTATATTCCAACATGTAATTACAAGACGCGCACTAAAGTTTTTTCAACTTATATTAATGCCGCCACCAACAGGGGACAATACAATACTCATTTTTACCTGAGTTAAGTGAAGAAAGTCGCGTCTTTCCCAAGGGCACAAGATGGGTGGCATGTCAGGACTCGAACCCAGGACCTCTTGGTTCCGAGGCGAGCACTCTGCCTATTGCGAATTTGCAGTAGTACAAAGCGATTTTTACGACACGCCGACACATGCTGGCCTATTGCGACATTTATGAGTCGGCACTGTACTGAGTTCTAGAGTTCTGTGGAGCTTCGGTAGTCCGTGTACCATCCTCCGTAGTTACTGCCGACTCCCTACTGTCGCTAACTACCGTTGGCTAAAGAGGATGGCACCCAGACAAGAGTCTTATTGTAGGTGATATTTTAGAATAGGTGAAAATCAATATGCGCGTGGTGCCATCCATAAAATTACATCAATGTGGCCTAGAAATAACTATAGTGAGAGGGTGACTACTGTGCTATATCATGGGTCACACACCTGCCCAACTCATCAGGTATCGGTTCAGAGTTCAACACGCCGTCTAAAGATAACAAGCTTGGCGTTGAAAAGAGGCTAGAGGTTACAATTACTTTTGTAAGTTGTCTAGTTAGAATTCCGTTTTGAAAAATCCGTAGTGCTCAAGATAGCAACGTACTATAAACTTCTGTCATGAACTAATAGCCGTGTTATCTCTAGGCATATATTTTATTTGCAGTGGCAAATTGGCCAGGCAGTATCAATTTGCCAGGCAGTTACCTTTTGCCACTCGTAAAAATGATACCATCACAAAAGGAAATGCCGATAAAAAGGCATTTAAAGACGTCAAGAATAAGCCGAAGCCTAACCTGTGATTGTAGAGTGCAAGCCGTATAGGTTATGTGAAGCTCACGTACAACCAATAGTAGTGCTACAGTTTCATGTGTGCCGCTAAACAATGAAAGGCGATTTGCTTGTTGCAAATAAATCAAAGTATAAAAGAAAGGATGTGAGTAAGAGCGCTCAGAAATGGCAGGTGGGGTGGAAGAGAAGTTGACGTTTGGTATGTCACGTGTGGGGGGTTCAGTCAAGAAGGGGAAATACCGGAAGTTTAAAAATACCCGCCACGCCTCCACAAGGGTCATTACTGGACACACCTCTGGCGGAACTAATGACATGAACCCGCGCGGACCAATCAGAGCGCGGCGCGCGCCGCTTGCGCCCTTCATAGGGCGGTGATTTATAAACGCCACCACACGGCACAGTCCGAGTCACAGCGTGTAAAAAAACGGGATCCCGTACACAAGAGCAGAGCAGAACTGGATTTACTTGTCCTGTACTCGCCTAAACACGAACCGAGTGTGCGTCGTATCCGGGGGTCACACCAATACGTGTGGATATTCCATAGAAACATGAAGGTAAGGACTTGTTTTGTATACATGTGCCTCGTAGCTAAAGATACCCCGCTTGTGCTAAATGTGTTTATCGGTGTGGGTCTGTGGGCAGGCCCGCGACAAGGGTGGCTTGGGTCGCTGCCAAGCGTGTTAACGTTCGCAACCTTGTGGACTTGTCTCAGGGGACAGGGTATGTCACAGCCAGCGTATGGAAGAAGTCATTCTTCTCATTACCGGGATACTAGACCCATACAAGGATACGCACCAACGCTAGGCAAGGCGGCCCGCCTAGAGTTTTAGAGTCACTAGTAGGACCTCCTCCCACAATACCATACAACACGGGCCTTACAAAATCACTGTCTGAACGACACAAAATTGATCTTATGTTTTATAAAAAGAAATAGATTAGAAGTACATAGAAGCCGTATACTTAACAGTGGTTTTTATGCCTGTAGGTCCGACAGTTGTACATGCCATGTTTTATATCCGAGGGTGCCAGAACTCAGCTGTTGTCATATAAATCATGTACAGACGACCTCCTGCCCATATTTTAGCACCCTCTTTTTTTTACATGACCCCACTGGAGTTCTGGATAGTTTCAAGCCGCGGCAAAAATACACGGAAATCTCATTTTGGCAGCCGCAAAGCTCTGCCATTAGCACCGGGTCGTAAATTCGTCAGGTCGCCTGCTCTGTGTCGTCGTGCTTAAGGAGACTTCGAGTTCGACGCTTTCTTCTTAAATGTCTTTTCTTAGACCTTTACGAAACAAATCAACAGTTACGACTGTTGAAAAAAATGTATCAGAAACGTCAAATTTTGGGGGCAAGAGGTTTAACTATTAAAGAACTGACAACATGTAATCAGTAGAATTGGGGAGGGGGGACGACAGCTGTCAGGAACTGTCTTGTCGTTCTTTGTTCGTCCCCGGCGCTTGTCTTAATAGACGGTTTAGTCTGGAGTAAATACCCAGAATTTTACTTGTCAGTTCTTGTAAAAGTCTTCCTCTGTAGACCGAGAGACTGAAGTGTGAACCACCAGCCTACCGTGCTAAGTTTAGTGCCTGAAGACGGGTTTTTAAACCGCGGTACGTCTCAATTGTGTTGACCCAACAGGAATGCCTGTGCTTGGGCTAAACTATGCTGCTGTACATGTGAGTACTGGTCCGACTATTTGGGTGTTTTCGACCCTCTTTTTGTTGTCCTTTTTGTCGGGGACGTGCGTATGGCTTAGCGGGTTGTATAGCCGGGGTACCCGGGTAGGTTCTAAGTATTTACCGTGACCACATTGTTGTGACACGGGGAGGACTGCGTTCGTGTGTCGGAGCCTCGCTACGTGCCCCGACCAAACAATAAGTTAAGTGACACCTACCTCTCGCATAAAGACATGTTTTCCGTCTTGCCTAGGGCGAATGCCATGCTTTGACACGATGATAACGCGCGACACATTCGGTGTGCCAGGGAGCCATTTTTGAACCCCCGAAGCTAAGTATTGTCTGCGTCGATTTCTTCCTACATTATCTTCCCTATAGGGACACCCCCTCCCCACTCCCTGTACGACAATTTATGGCCATTTTTGTCCATCAATGCCGTTACCATGGCAACGGAAGAAGAAAAAATGGCCCATTACCTTCCTAGGAACCACGGGTAGCGCCTTTCAGTGTGGGTTACTCACCACTGAAAAACGCTTTCAAAAAGAGGGACAAAAATTCACAGGTATGTCTGACTCTGTGTACAAAATAGATTTCCAAGAGGAGATACGGGACCGAGTTGACTGAGAGACGGCCACAAACCCGGAACCGAACCTTGATACTCAATTAATTCTCTTTATTTAGGTTTAAAACAGATTTTATAGTCCATCAGATCATTACGGATTGTCGTTATATAGGATCAGTGGTATTAGTGAGACTCCATTATTTTGTCGAGTTTTCTTTCGTTCTTTTAATGTAGTATCTGTCTTGTTTTTTGGTCACGGGGTAGTGCCTAACACTAATCTCCAAGCAGATCTTATACTGGCTGCAAAAACAGTATCGGATTAGCCAGGCTGTAACCATTTGCTAAAAAGTTACCATTAAAAAAGGTACTAGTAAAAAAAGTGTTATAAAGTGTCTAAAAACACCACTGCAAAAAATGCAAGTGCAAAACTCTGCTTGCAAAGAAATCTAACCTTCCGTAGCCGCGTTGTTTTTGTTCTCGCGATACTTGATATCAAAACTCGCGAGGCTGCGGTCCACTTGTGGTTCAGAAAGTGTTGCAGAAATGCGTCCTCTTGTTTGTTTTGGTATTTATTTTGAGAGAGCTCGGAAGTACTCAAGTGAAAGGAACTCCATTTCCAAGAACATTACCAACCCCGCGGTTACGTAATACGTAAATATCTCTCGTTGATACTTCCTTGACTACAAAGCAACAATGTTAAAGGCACAGTCAGGGATTTCATGCAGGAAAAACTGGATCGTATTTTCAAAGTCGATTTCCGGGGGATTCTTTTAATGTAGTAACTTCAATCAATCATATCCCATAGCACACTGATATCTGTGAGATAGCTAAGATACAGTGCAGATCTAAAGGTAAATGTGGATCCGAATGAAGTAAATAAAAGTCAAAACGTTTGCTTGTTTTGTGACGTAGGCTGGTTCTATCTATTTATGGGTGGTACCCAAAAATCAAGAGATGCCTTACATATACATAACTGGTTTCTTGGCTATATATATATTTGAAATGCGTATAAAATAATGACGAAAATGTGCTAAGACATGACAGTAAATGTTAATATCAGACATATTTCCTCATATCCAGAATATTATTGATATACCACCCTAAAATACAAATCCTTGCCTTAAATAAAACGTGTACATTGTGTAGGCATCTTTAAAGTTAATTAAAAATTATATAGCAAATTAAAGTTTATTGCACTATAATTGTAACAGACACAATTAATTACGTAAAGCCTTGCATAAAACTAAAAGCTAGTTCCATTCATCTATTACTATCTACACATAGATCCTTAGCTATACAATTTTGATAGCGGCCACAATGTACAGAGTATGTCTGCAATAAGATATTGCTCTAAAGTTATTCCCAAATCCTCCTAAGTAGTATCAACTCAGATTAAATTGTATTTCTTTTATCCTAAACTGTTGTTTGATCAGTAAAAGGTAACGGCAACCAGTCGACAATAACAAGGATAAACCATAGTGAACTACCGACATACGATACTCCCGAAGTACGCACCATACAAATCTTTTAAATGTTCGCTTTTAGTATATTTGCCTTCAAGGGGGGCGAAACCGTGTAGCGTTTCACAAACATACAATGTTTTGTAATCCTCTATAGGAGAATTTGCCGTCACAAGTAGCCCCTAATCTAACGTTAGATTTGTAAGGTGTTTTGTTGTGTCTCTAAGGCTATGAATAAAGCTGTTTTTAAATATGTGTAAGTCTAAGCTTATGGAAAATATCGGAAGATACTCATTGGAATAGAAATAAGGGGGAGAATGGTATTAGTTAGCCTGGGAATACAGGCGCATTTGAGGGCGGTGAAGAGATTACTTCATTAGTAAAATTATATCCGAGGCTAACTCAGCGACTGGATTTTGTTTTTTGAACGTGTTACGGTTTACTAGTAGTTTGGGACTTGTTTAAAGGCATCAAATAAAATTTCAGATTGGCCGAACGAAAAAAGAATATTCTGGATTAGGGAATCTGTCTGATATTGACATTTACTGCCATTTCTTAGCACATTTCGCTATCAATGTATCCTTGAAGCGTTTAAAACAGAACAGAAGCAAGCTACACTTCATTTCTTTGTATTACCAACAAATTCCTAGAACCAGCCCACGATAAAAACAAACAACCGTTTGCTATCAGCAACGTAGAATTTTTGCCTCAGACTTGCAAAGATATGCTGTTGCATAGGGTTGAACCAACTTACTACATTAAAATGTGACCTGTGAATTGACTAAAAATCTCGTTTTACTTTTCAGAAATCTCTTTGGGTGCCTTTAAGTTGCATAATGAGGTCTCATTGTGAACTTGACTTACTGAAAAGCCTGCCAAAAGAGCCTGTCAACCTTAAGGTCACATTAAGTGAGAGGCAGCCGTCTGTAGCAACAATATCGGCGGTGCTACTTTTATATTATCATTTTTCTTCCGGTTTGATGATGAATGAAAAAGTACATATGACACAATACCTTCTTTTCATCACTAGTATTGTCAACTATCTTTAACCCCTTGTCGCCATATGTTTTCTCAATTGGAAAAAAACCTCCCCCTCCTCGGCTTTTCATTGGTAGGTTCCCAGACGGACAGCCTCCCAAAGGACGTGCGCTCATTGGTGCGGGTAGAATTAATGATGCACGTAACTATGGCAACACACAGCACAACACAAACATCTCCCTAAGGACCGTTCCTACTTTTCTACAAGTCACTAAAGAACTTCATTAGTTTGTTACTCTCCAAGCAGAGGTTTAGGGTTTTGTCGGGCCTTCTTTTTTTTATGCTGGAATCTTTTTTTTAGCCAAACGCGTAGCAAAATAATATTGCCCTGGCAATTTGATACCGTCTTTCCAATTTGATACCGTTGTTCCAATTTGATACCGTCTTTCCAATTTGATACCGTCTTTCCAATTTGATACCGTCTTTCCAATTTGATACCGTCTTTCCAATTTGATACCGTCTTTCCAATTTGATACCGTCTTTCCAATTTGATACTGTCTTTCAAATTTCATGCTGTCTTTCCAATTTGATACCGTCTTGTAAGGTAAAGATCAGCTTGGAGATTACATGTACTTGAAGTTTAAAATAACGTTTTTGTTCTCTCCATTCATGTTTTTGTCATCATTTGAGAGCACAGGTTATTCTTGTCAAATCAGACACGTTTAGCTACCTGTCCGGTTGGTATGTATAATGTCCTTGGTTCTACCAATGCTAAAGGGTTGTGCAAATATTTTCACCCGTTAAATTTTCGGGTTACAAAAGTTGAGTTGGCGTTGTTTGAGAGTTTTTATAGTCCGTACGGTACAGATTTGTA